CGAGCTTCGCCATTTTGCGATTTGATGGTTGTGAAGTTCAAGGCCCGACTATCAAGATTCTCTGCTCCTTCATTATTGGTTGCTCCAAAAGTTCACTCCTGAGTCCTCCAACTTCGTGATCGTGATTTGACATGAAGATTGCGATCTCGGTGCTCAACTTCGTGTCCTTAGTTTCCAGCCGTGATCAATCATGCCCTGGCCGTGATCTTCTATTTTTGCACATATCTCTACACTCATGCCCTCTTTTGGTACTTAAAATATTCATATAATCTAATACGCCCTAAAATGATAATTTTTTCTCCGTAGAACGAATAAAGGGTATATTTGACGATATATAAAGCGTGAAGACCATGAAATGACTCAAAACCAACCTAAATATGAGCTTTAAATAACACCATTTTGGGTGTTATCCAACCCGAACCACTCAATTGTACACAAGCATATGTATTTTTCTCAAGATATTTTATATTTATTATCCATATTATTTTTGCTATGTGTAAAACTTGAACTATTTTGGATAGGACAAATAATATGCACTATCTGTCGTCGGCTATCCATTTCCATCCCTAGAGAAGAAGAGGAGAGATTGGACGGTTTTGTGAGTAGAGAGAGACGAGAAGAAAGAAGTTTCCTTCAATGTATGGGAGAGAGTATTACATGTGACAAAATTTTCTACTTTCAAAATTGCATCTATCTAATCTTCACTGTCAATTAAAAAAATAAAATAAGAAAAGAGGCGTTAATGGGGTTGAATAAGTGAGTTGTCATGTTGCAAACTAGGGATGGCAACGGGTCGGGTCGGGGGCGGATAGTGCATATCTGTTATCCTACTCAAAGTAGTTCGAGTTTTACCCATACCCATACCCATACTCACGTAAGAACCGGGTATCTACGATTATCCATGTGTAATAAATAATAATATCTCTTTATAAGTCCAACCAACATGTTAACGTTCATACGTATGTTCACATTAAATAAGTGGAAAAGTATAAAAATAATTCACTAAAATAAAGAAAATTAATTTCAAACAACACAATGAATATATTATATTTGTATGCTAAATATAAGATATATTGAGAAAAATAATGATAATTTCTTGACAATATATATGCTTGTGTATAATCGAGTCGGTTCGTGTTGGATAGTGAGAAAAGCATGCCCACCCATTGCCCTCAATATTCGGGTTTGTGTTTTACCCATACCACTAAAAATTCTTCGATTTCGGGTTTTATCATACCCAATTAGACCGGATTCGGGTGAATATCCATGGTTGCGAATATTTTTGTCATCTCTATTGCAAACATTGAAAAGGGTCGAATAAGATCTAGTGTTTAAGTCAATGACTTAAGTAGTTTCTAAAATTTTCTCCGACCAATAGGATAAGGAGAGAGAAATGAGAGGTCTAATTGTTAAAAGGTCAATTAAGGTATTATTATTTAATATTTAATTAAAATAGAAATTTTTAAATTTTTAAAATGAAAATTCGAAAATAAAAATTCAAAATTAGTAATTACTATATTAAATTTTATTAATCTTCTTTATTACTTATTACTTAATTGTTTCAAAACATTAATAAAGCTACGGTAAACGGTAAATAATTTCTTAAAAAAAATGTTAATAATGTTATTGCACACTATTAAGAATTTCTTTTATATTATAACACTATTTTAAAATATTAATAATTCATTCCAAAACCAAGGTAAAAAATTAATAAAATTATATATCATTAATAATTTCTTTCAAAGTCTTACTAACATTTGTATATCATCAATAATCCCTTTAACAAACATTAATAACGAAATTTTATATCATTAATAATTCTTTTCAAAGATTTTATAACGTTATTGATTACAACTAGCAGTTCTTTCCACCAACGTGAATACCATTATTGTACACTATTGATTATTATTTTCAAAAAAATTAATAATAAAATTATATATCATTTATATTTATTTCAAAATATTACTAATGGTATTTTATACTACCAATTATTATTTTTTCAAATGTTAATAAAAAATTAAATATCGTTAATTATTCTTTTCAAAAATTTTATAATGATATTTATATAAAATTAATAGTTCTTTCCAAAAATATTAATAATGATATTTTATATCATTTAAATTTCAGTCAAATGTTAATAACGATAATGTATTCCATCAATAATTTCATTCACAAACATCCTTAACATTCTTGTATGTTATCACTAATATATTTGAAAATTTTAATAATGTTATTGTACCATATTAATTCATTTCACAAAAATTAATATCGAAATTGTATGTCATTAATAATTCCTTTTAAATATGGTTTAGGAAACCGTACCGGAGGTCATACCGGACAAGTTTGTGGTATGGTATTTTAAGGTACGATCGTGGTTCAACCGTTTTATATCTGTCGAATACCGTTTTTTGATAAAAAAAAATATTTTTTTGTTAAAATACCGTACCGGATAAATAGACTACCGTACCGAAGTAATACCGGAACTCTACCGGTATCATACCGGACAGTAAATAGTAAAATACTAAATAATCATAGAATAACAAACAAACTAGTCTTGAATTAGATAAATTATCATACAACATCTAATAATCACATCATCATCCAATAACATATCGATGTTTAATTGGTCTGGGATTTATGCATGAAGCTTAATTTTAAATATAACTTAATGAATGAATTAGATTGATGAGAAATAGACAGTTGTCTAATTACTTAATTTAAAATATAACTGTATTAAGAGATACACACGTTGCAGTAGCCAAGTTGACACAACAAAGGAACATCATACTACATTACAAAAGATGTGGTGGCAAATGAAGTAATTTTGTTAAAAAGGAAGGGCTGATTATTATATTCTATGAGATATATAAAGAATGAAAGAGATACCAAACCCTAGGCGCCTGTGCCGCTCACTTCCCTTTCACTATGCAACCCTTCTCTCCCACTCTTCCCATTCTGAAAAATGAACCGAACAAAATAATATTCCCCAACCTTCATTCAATCCAATTTTATTTTGCCCCTCTAAAAAATGATAAACGATGGAGGCATGGAGGAATAACATAACTTTTTCTCCTCTTTCTTCCTTGCTTCACCTACCTCCTCTATGTTCGGCCTGTTTTCTCGATCTACTCCCTCTGTCTCGTGTCGCATGTGAGAAATCGATCAAGGACGACCAAAAGCGCCGATCTAGATAAGTTTGTTCGAGGGGTGGAGGCAGGGAACGGGAATGGAGATGGGGCTGGTTACAATAGAGGCATAGACAATTAGGTTTTTGGAATTGCTATGGAAGAAAGGACGTCGTTTTTTATAATTTTAAATGAATTAAACGGGCACGTTTTCGTTCCAATAAGTGTATCGCCGGTTAGAACAAAACCGGAAAAACCGGTCGGTACGGTAAAACGACCACCATTAGGCTACCGTATCGCTTTTGGTCCGGTTTTCGGTTGAACCGGCTGGTACGATTCGGTTTCCTGGTCCATGCTTTTAAAGTGTCCATAAATTTATTTTATATCCTTTATAATATGTTTTCCCTAAACTTAAACCGCATTTTATATCATAATAATTCTTTTCAAAATGTTCATAATAATGTATATAATTAATATTTTTCCACAAACATTAATAATCATATATTACATATAATTAAAAATTTTCAAAATGTTAATAAAAACCATGAATAACCTAACTTCAGTTATTGGTTTAAAATATAACAATAATCTAGACTATAATAAATTCGACCCCAATAAATCTGGTCCCATTAACGTACCTACTTCTTGTCGACATTAATAGCGAAGATGCTCCTGATGGGTGGAAGTCCATATATAGGTGGACGGGCCAAACCGTTTGTCAGTTTTCTATGGATGGATGCGCACAGATCGCTCCTCTCCAAAAACGAAAGAAACAACATCACATTGCCGCTGGCTCGGCCTGCCAGCTGCAAACACCCGACCGAGTTAGTTGAGCACATTTTTTGCTCTTACCCTTATGTTGAACATGTTTGGCAAATAGACCTTCCAGAGATCACTTCGACTGCAACCGCAAGGGACTTCAATGTTTGGTTTATATCTAGCCTCACCAATCTTGACCACAAGGATGCTTTGGTATCGTTTTTAGTTCTTATGACGTTCACTGAATCATCCCATTTTTTTAGACATCATGGAAGCCCCTAATAAGTTTACGCAAAATACCGTAGTCTGAAAGGTCATTGTGGGACACAGTAAGGTAGCGGACCACACTCTAGCACTAGAGAGTTCAGGTCGCATTGAGACGTTGTTATTTTGTGGGAACCGACTTCGACCGATGGCTCATAGTGAACTCTGACAGATCGCTCCTGTGAGTGTCAGGTCTACCGCTACAGGAGGGGCACTTTGAGACGGGCAAATTCGCTTGTTAGGGGCTTACTCTATGAACCTGGGAAGATGTACGATCACTCATGCAGAGCTGGAGGGCGCACTCAAAGGGCTCTAGCTGGCCTGGGGCACTGGCAAAGGAAAATTTGAACTCGAGCTTGAGTCGCGTATAACCATTCAACCTCTTAGTATTGAGGTTCCAACCGACCACCAACATCCAAACCTCGTGCTTTCTTTCACAGAGCTCCAGCAAAGAAATTTGGAGATACCTATTATTCATGTATATAGAGAGGCTAAATTTTTAGCCAATAGTCTTGCCCATTGGGGTCACGATCTAGCAATTGGTACCCACACTATTTGCCAGTCGAGCTCGTCTATCGCTCATTGGCTTTAACGACTCTGTTGGTGATTTTTTTATTCGTTTGATTAATGATCAAGAGGTAGTTTTGCTTTTCACCATTTCACAATAAAACATAGAAAATGTGAGCTTCAGTATTGTACAAAATTCCACTCAAACCAATATATCTTTATTTTCTGAAATGAAGAGAAAATACCGATAATAATATAATCACCATTCAAGTAAATTTGGATGAGAGGACCGTGAATGAGGTAAGTAGGAAGAATAGATGTGATTGTGAGAAAGAGAAAATTGAATCAGAAAACATCAAGAATTTCTAAGATGAAGCCATTACAGAGTGGACAATTCCCTCTTTGAACGTAAAGCTCCTTTGAGCAAAGTCGGCAGAAGGTATGGCCGCAAGGAATAAAAGCCGAGCCTTTATGCCTGACCATGCACACACAACAAGTATGCTCAGTCCCACCAGCAACATCGCCGCCATCGTTATCATCGTCATCCTCGTAGTAAGTTTGTTCATTGTCCTCCCCTACCACATACCTTGCTCCTTCAAACCCCATCTGTCGATCAGTCTCCTCCAACAAATCCATAAGCGACATGCCCATTCCTTCCTCTTCTCCCTCCCCGGCATCATCAAATTTCTCATCCTCCTCCTCGTATGCTGCTTCTTGTGCGGCAGCTGCTTCTGAGGCCTCCTGCGCTGCAATCGCCTCCCTAGCTGACAATACTCTCTCTTCTACCAATGTTGCGCCTGGTCGCTGATGCACAGCGTCCTCTTCTTCCTCGTGCATCCGGATGGAGTGCCGCCGCGACATCTGTGGTCTAAAGCTTCGAGCTGGAAGGTCATCGCCCACGGCAAGAGTGTCCACTGCGAACTCTTCCCCGTCCACATGACTAGTTGCCATCGTGGATCCATGTTTGGTGGAGCTTTTGCGTGACATTTGAGGCCCGAATTCAGGATGATCGGTGGTCTGACCGGTGGTTGTGAACCGGACAGAGTTGCGACGGGACATCATTGACCTAGGAGGAGCATTTTTGTAGCCGCTATTGTGGATCGGTAGATCGGATGTGGGGATCTGGATAGAGGATGTCCATGCGGCTCCCGCTCTCCGTAGTCGTAGCCTTTCTCTGAATGCTTTCCAGCTCTTTTTGTCTTTGTGTCCAAACAAGGAGCGATGGGGATCTTCATCGCGGATGATATCGAGAAGGGTTTTGTTCATATGTGCCGCGGTGGCTGCATTCACTTCACCTGGAGCAGATCTCTTGTTGTTTCCCAACACCGCATCGAGGGTCAACCCGGCAAGGGATTCACGGCGGCTATCCACTGCTGACATTTTTTTCCTTATGCCTAAGCAATATAAAGGCTTCTCAAACAGTTTTTATAAGAAAATCTCATCACAAATCATAACATACATAAACCAAGTATCAAATCCTTTTAAAAAAAATGGTAAGCTTTTTGTTTGGGCATCATGATAGGAGATACAAAAACACACATGAAATGGTGAATAAAAAGTCTAAGAAAATTTAATTTTTTTTCAAGAAAATAGTTAATTAAGGAGATTTTATCAAGGGGATAAGTAGGCAGAAAAGAAGAGAGATCTGGAGGTGCTCGGGAAACAATGCAACAAAATGATGGAAGGGGAGAGAGAACATTGGATACCTTTATCTTTTAGGACTGATGTTTCTTTTTTTCTTAATTAATTTACAGTGAAGCTTCAAAAGGCGAAGAGGGTAGCCGATATCTCATTGCAATCTGCCCAAATTTGTTTCACCACAAAGAATTGCCTGACAAAATCACCAAATGTAGTTCCAACACAAAAATAATACAAGTAAATAAACAAATAAATAATGCAAAAGAAAATAAAATTGAGAGAAAGTCTATACTACAGCCACCAGATAGTTCAACTATTGTTCTTGATGTTTTGTCGTTATCTTCTTTGTGCTTCTTTGAAGTTATCTTTCTATAATTGTTGATGTGAGCCCTTATGATATTTGAGTTCTTCCTTTTTCTTTGTCTTTTTTACTTAATGTTGTTATTATTTGAGTTACTATTATTGTTTCTTATTTATGGTTGAGTAGAAACGATGAATGGAAGGTTGGAGGGAAAATTGATGGAAGCACCAAGAGTGGTGAGTGATTGAAGAGAGCGAGTCACAAGGGAGAAAGCATGCAACTGAATTATGATTTGTGAGTGAACGACCCTAGTTAGCGGGAAAACGTTTGTGTTAACAATGCCCACCATTTCCAGAGGCGTAGCTAGAGGCAAACAAGGGGGTGCCATGGCACCCCCTTGGATTTGGAGAAAAGCCCAAAATTAATAATATTAGTATGTTAATAATGATATTTAATCTCTTAATTTCAATATCAATTGTCAAATGTGCTATCATTAAACCACAACAAACTATGTAAATTAATTTCATCTACTAATATCTACATTTTTACATTCTAGTTTATCAATAACGGTAGCACCTTTGACAAATGATTTATTGACCAAGGAGTGGAGAAATCAATGTGGAATAAGAAATAATATAATTTTGGATTTTGCTACGGTGACATGCATGTCACCGTGACATGGACTTTATTCGGTCGACCGAATGAGCTAATTCATGTATGTTGGGTTCCTGAAGGCGGTCGACCTCTTACAAAATGCGGTCAACCGTTTTGGTGGTCTAACAGAATGACAGGTCGACCCAAATATCGCATAGGCCGACCCTTGTGCACCTAACAGGTCGACCGCATTGTGAAGAGGTCGACCGCCTTCAGACCGTATCCGTATTGGATATAGATTCCAACACCAGAAAGGTTCCACAATTGGACAAGGAAACGAATTGGGTCGACCCATTCACGTCCTAAATCTCTATAAATACGAATATGAGTCCCCTTCAACGCCACCAAGTCTGAATTAGGTTTTTTTCCGACTTAGAGCCTTTGTGAAGAAGATCGCTCGCGGTTGCTGTTGTACGTGTTGGAAGTGGTCGACCAGGTCTAAGGTGAGGTCGACCTAATGTAGCATTCGCCGTCTTCTTTTTTAATGTGTGATTTCCACCGGCTAACTTGATATATTGTTGGGTGCAGAATCCAATTCGGTCGACCGCGACGTCAACCAGGTCGACCTGACGAGACAATTCTTCGTATTTGAATTTAGGCCACAACACTTGTTCTGTACTTGCGAGGTAACCCAATCGGTCGACCTAATGAGTTTCAAGGTCGACCGTATATGTTTTTTTGGTTATTCAACCTGAATGTCGACTTTGGCTTTGTTTGTATGACTATGTTGTGCTTGAAAAGGTCGACCGCGCCAGATATCTGGTCGACCTGTCCTTTTTTCGGTTTAATTTTGAACTTACTATTTGTTTGTAATTGTTATTTTCCTGCTGGATAGGTCGACCTAGGAATAACCGAGGTCGACCTGACGAGTTGTGGTAGTCACTATTTGTCTTACAGGTCGACATAATACTCTGTCAGGTCGACCACGTCTTTGTTTTTTGGTCAATTATAGAAATTTGTACTTGAATTATGATTTTAATTTTTCTTTAAATTGTTTAGACGATGACGCATGATGAGAAACTGCATCAAGATTTGGGTGAAATCATGAAATTGTTGAAAGCCACACAAGAGAAGCTGGTGGTGTGTCAAACACAAGTCGAGCATTTGTCAGTTCGACTGACAGATATGACTGGGATGATGCATGACGGGTTTGAGAGGCTAGAAGGTGCTATCAAAGATATAAGTGCAGAACGAATGGAGAATGGCGGAAGAAATGGTAAAGGAAAGAAATTTGACTTTGGTAAAGAGGAGGAAGACCATGATGACTCTGAAAATTGCTACCAGAGCATAGACGATTTATTGAAAGAGCACATTTTAAAGGTATCCAAGTATATTCATATGTGATTGAAGATATTAGTATTACTATCATTAGTGCTAATCTGTTTTGTTTATATGTTTGACAGAGTGAAACAAAGAATGGCCGCAAGGGTTCCTCTCCTAATTACAATAGACCGCGATATGAAAGTGACTCCTACACCACTCCACAGAAGGATCAATTTGTAAGAAAGGGATTATTTAGTGATGATAGCGATGAAGATGAATCTAAGAGTCCTTTCGAAAAGCACGGGGTAAGTTTACGTTACATTTTCATCTATAATGTGTGTTTGTGTTCATATGTTACTTTAATTTTAAATATGATTTGTAGGTCATGAAAGTGGGTCTAGAAGGATTCACCAAAAATCTTCAAAATCCAGTTGAAGACTTGTATTATGTTGTTACTAAAGAGAAGGTTGGGGACAAGAATTGGGACAAGTAAGACGTTTTTCTAGTACATGTGGTCGACCGGTTGTCCAATAAGGTCGACCGTGTGTCCAATAAGGTCGACCTTGACTGTGTACAGGTCGACCTGTACGTTGCAAAAAAACAATTGACATTTCTGTTATCTTGATTTTTGCAGTTTGATGATTGTGGACTTTTTTTCTGAAAACCTGCAACGACATTATTTGAGTTCGGTCATTAGCGAGAAAAGCTGGGTTTGCTCATCAGTAAGTACTATACTACTACGACTTTCGTATGAATTGTGCACTATTTATGTTACGATTTACGATGATTTTGTGTTTGATTGTTGGATGGTAGGTAGTGGATTTGTGTGCAAGGGCACTAACAATGTCTGAAAAACATGATGTGAAAGAGCCAAATGTGTGGTATTTGCCAAATATGTTTTCGGTAAGAGGCGTAATGTCAAATTATTTGTCATAACCTAGTTATTTATATTGGGGATGTCTTGGCGTTCGATGCATGCTACAAGCGCAACAGGTACAATCGACCATTTGTTATGATGGTTGGTGTAAATCACCACCACCGTAACATCATATATGGTTTTGCCCAGTTGGATAACGAGACAATCCCCAACTATGTTTGGTTGTTGAATACTTTTCTGGAGTGTATGAACTCTAAGATGCCCACTTCAGTGATCACAGACGGAGACAAGTCTATGCGTGGTGCCATTGCTACTGTTCTGGTTGGAGTGCCTCACCGTCTTTGTATTTGGCATATTGAGACAAATGCGACAACAGCCGTTCATAATAAGGAGTTCGTTAGCGCATTCACTTACTTGGCGAAAGCACGAATATCAATTGAGGAGTTTGAGAGGCGTTGGGAGCTTTTGATTAGTCAGCATGGCTTGTCTGCAAATAAGTGGTTGCAGAATTTGTACGCTGACAAATTACTGTGGGCAGAGGCATACTTGAAGGATATTTATTTCAGTGGACTCCAATCAACCTCGCGATGTGAGTCATGTAACCATTGGATAAATGGGTATGTGGGAACTCAATACAGCTTGCAACGTTTTGTTCAGGGCATTGATGAAGCACTGGAGGGGATGCGTTTCACGGAGACGCAGGATGATTATTCTTCTAGGCACACGAGGTTGGTCTGCAAGCATGCCCTGCGCACTTGGGAAATGCAAGCTGAAAGTATCTACACTCATCGTACATTTGCTATCTTCAAGACTGAACTAGAGAATGAAGCTTCTTATGTATTAGCGGAGAGAAGAAATGAATCAGATGGGACAGAGACATTCATACTGAAGAACTACATGAACCCAGATAGGATAAGGCGATTAACATTTACTACGTCCACTCAAGATCTCAAATGCGAGTGTGCATTATTTGAATCTAAGGGGTTTCCATGCAGACACATGCTTACAGTAATAAAAAATATGGGATACACCGCACTACCCTCGACTTGGTTCAAGCTTCGATGGACCCAAAATGCGAAGACACTAAATCGTCATCCTGGAGTTGGAGGTGATGTGGGAGAGAGAGTTGGTCGACTGATAAGACATGGAGGATTGGCTCTAAAGTGTAAGCGTTTATGTGACATCGCGTGTGGTAGTGAATCTGCTTTTAATCATGTCTCTAAGACGTTGGACGACCTTACTCAATGGGCAATTGAGTTCGCGAAGGAGAGAGAAGACAACACCACACCGGCAAACCCTCCAGCACCCCTTCGAAGTGTGAAAGATCCAAAAATTGGGAAGACCAAGGGGACATTCAAGTCAGCACGAACTGCATCGGGCAAAAGTTTGAGAAAGTGTTCGAAATGTGGGAAATATGGTCATTTTCGCCCCAAGTGCCCGAAACAAAGTCCCAAAAAAGGATCTTAAATTTCTTCTATTGTTTTTTAGGAGTTGTTTTATTTTTTAATAACTGTGATTGCATTGTATTATCTTCGAATTATCTTAATAATGTATGAGTTAATTGATTGTGGGTTGAAATAAAGTCATAAACGGTCGACCTCATAAAAGTTCCGGTTGACCGAACCAAAGGCGGTCGACCGAACACTT